GATTATAGGGGCTAGTAACCCAGTTACTAAGTCCCCCTGACCCTCCAAGTAAGGAGGTGCAGGAATAAGAAGACAAGCACTCAAGCTGTAGGCCGCAAACCCTAATCACTGTAGGCTTGGTAGTTTCAAGGAAACACGGGATGCCTAACTTTCATAATCGTAATCATAATAGCAGTGATAAGAGCAAGAATAGTAGCAATAACAGTAATAGCAGTATAAACAGTAAGAATAGGAATAATAGGAATACGTGTAATAATAGCAATAATAATAAGAATATAAGAATAGTTGTTATAATAGTATGAATAGTAGCTACCGTAGTACCATTCGAGCAGGGGTGTGTTCATGAGGGGAGGTCCCTTGACCGATGTACGGGTCGCAGGAGCCCCTTGCACGCCCGAAGTTTGCAGAACCCATAACTTATTGGGGGGGGTTTAAGGGGTTAGGGTATATAGGGATTATCATCCCCGACCAGTAAGTTAAAATGTAACCCCCAAACCCCCAAATTATGAGCCTTGCAAATGCCCTGGACCCCACCGCTTCCAAAACCCTCAAGGAGCAGCTAAAAAGCCGCAGTTTTTTCTGAAATCTGTGAGGTGCTGAGTTCTTGGAGACTGTGAAGGGCATTGTTTCCACCACCATGGGTGGCAAGCCGGAGAAGGTTTGGATGACTGGATGGTTTAGGGTCGAGGGTCTGGAAACGCCTTTGGACAGGGGGTCTGTGGTTGAGGTTTTAGAGCCGAGAGTTCAGGGACTGGGGCTTGATGTGGAGGTCCAAAGAATCCAGTCATTTTCGATGTTCATCATCGTTTCCACTCATGTTGTTGCTGGGGCGTGGCCAAAACAACCTTGACGGAATCCCTCGCAGGCACCTCCAAGCTCCTCAGGATCCTTATAGACCCCTGGATCACCTGTTTTAAGAAGCTGCCTAGGGCTCAGGGCGCCTTCTCAGCGTGCGGGTGCAGTCGCGACGTTCAGGCTTCAGGATAAAGTGTTCGTCTATACTGACAAAGAGTCCCAAATACGGCAGTTTCTCAAGACACTTCCCTTAAGGGGCCTGCGAACAGTCCTCTTCACACACCCCTGTCATTCCCAAACTTAGAGATTGAACATGACAATCCCTTCTAAAAGGCTGCCAAGAAGGCTCAACTAGTCTTGCAGACCCTAAACCCTGAACCCTGAACCCTAAACCGTAGCATGAATGACCAGATCTCGGGAATCAGGTGGAGGTGGTGGAGAAGACCCGATTTCAATCCGTTCGTGCGGGCCTCAGTACCCATTGGGGTAAGATTACAGTTATATAGGGGTTACATGGGGATAATGGAAAATATAATGGAAACTATTACAATGGGATATATCGGGGTAATAGTGGGATATATGGGGATAATGGAAAAGAAAATGGAAACTACTATTTAGGTTTCAGGGTGAGGGATGCACCGTATAGTTTCTCGAGATGAGGGTCCCCCCAAATAACATCCCGTCATAGAGGGATCCTTACCCATAGGCGCCCAAGCAGGAACCCTTTCAGAAGCAGGTCTTGCAGCGTGAAACGCTCAGGTTTGGATGTACGGTGCGCTTCGCCTGACGATTTTTGCCTGCTCCACAGCAGGCTAAAGAGCATTCCAAATGCGCGGTTTCTTTTATAAGCTTTAGTCTAAACTCCCATAAGTTAGGGCTTAATATCTCCTATAGTGTAGGGTTTAGGTTTTAGGGTTAAGGGTCTAAACTCGTAGTATCCGCCATAATAGTGGAGAATCCAGTGGAAAAGACAATGGCGCATGAAATGGAGACTGGCATTATATAGGGGATTATAGGGGTCATAGTCTGAACTCCCAGTATCCCCTCAGTAACCCTTATAGTAGTCCCCTAAATAATCCCCTATACAGCCCCCCTAGGGTGTTTAGACTGTAGCTCTTACAGGCCTTGCTTATGCCAAGCAATCTTCAGATAATCTGAGCCTCAAGTCTTCCCAGGAACTGAATCCCTAAACCCTATCCTGAATAGGGGAATCCCAATATAGTCCCCAAGATACTATAATGCAGGGATTGTATGGAGATTCGGTATACCGAATAAAATCAAATCAAATGGGAAAGAACATGGAAACAGAAGTGACAACTGGGATCATACAGGAGATTATGGGGGTTAACGGTTTCTCAAATTACGGATCCTGTTGTAGTGTGATAGAAGCTTTACGAGGAGCCTTGATGCAGTTTTCAGTTTTCAGGATCGGCTTTCTGCCTTCGGCAGAAGGTTCCTGATCACTTCTCGAGTAGCCTGCTCACGGCAGCAAAAAGCCAAGGTGCCCGGCGGTTTCCCAGAATGACGGATAGTTTGTGGGGTGCGTATAATAAGGGTTCTAGGGTCTCTGGGTCTTTTTCACGTCCTCCTCTTTAGGGAAACTAACGTTTTGGGTTCTTACTTGGCGTGGAACGTTCATGTTGTAATTCTCAACCCTACACCCTAAACACCCTGAACGCCAAATCGTAGTTCCATCAAGAGGGGGACCGCAATATAGACCCGAATATGCTGCAATCCGTATTGCAGGAGACTCTCCTAATATTGGGAAGCCTTGCCCGAAAATCCGACCAGTTTCGCTTCAATTTATTGCTATTATGAGCTATTGTCAATATTAGCTTTACCAAGGGACCAGTCAGGGTGGACATAGGGGTCCCTCTTGTAGTTTAGTACGGTCCGTGACCTAGGAACCCATGTCCATGAACTTATGCAGGAAATCTTGACTGTGGCTCATATACTCCCTGTATTATTCCTACATGACCTGAAGTCTAAACTCCTCGTATTCCCTTTTATAACCTTATAATACTCCCCTATATAATCCCTAGATAACGCATTTAGATCTTAAGCCCTAAGCCCTATACAACCTCCCCTCTAAGGAGCTTCGAGTATAGTTCCTATAATCCTTGTATAACCCTATTTCTAGCAGTTTCCATTTCATTTTCCATTTGATTCTCCACTATAGGGGGATAATATCCCTAAACCCTTTTAAGAAACTTCGATTACAGTTCATATGATCCCTAAACCCCTAAACCC